AGTGTTCCCTTCATGCTAACAAATCATACTCATATAAATACACATAAATATCTCATTAATCAATCAATATGCGATAAATATATGACTATTCATTAAAAAACATATATTTAAATAAAAAAATTGGGTAGTTGGTTACAATAGAAGTTACTTTTGGAAATATGCAATAAAATGTAGTTTTTCATTAAATGAAACTAATTGTACGGATTTTATCGCGTTTAATTTTAACTTCTTTAATTTTTGACGATTCGGGTACTTTACAGCATGCATGGTCACGGAGAAAATCTACAACTATATAGTATAAATAAAATGATAGACGTTGCTTTGACAATGACGATGCAGTTGTGCGCCCATCACGGAAAAGTTACTGGATAGATTACAATAAGGTTTTCTAAGTTTTGTTTCTTAGACACTTGGCCTTTATCTAAAAAAACTTAAATTTAAATATATATATATTTATTTTATTTATATATAATATATTAAATTGAAGTATAAACGAAATTATTGCGATATCTTCATTCAATATAAAGTTATTAAAGTTTTAAGAACGCGGACGACGTCACAGATATCAGCTAGTAATTAATAAAATTAAATCCAAACCCAAGCATACCACTGCAAGACTTCATAGATATACTGTAAGCACGCTCTGCGTAGATCGGAAAAATAATATTCAAAAACTGAAGGTAGAAGACCTAACATATGAAATGACAAACTATGACAAACACCTCAGTCCCCTCCGTGACCATTGGAATTGTAAAACAACTGAAAAGTCGGGAATTAAAAAAGCTAAATTAAACGCGATAAAATCTGTAAAATTGGGTTAATTTAATGTTTAGTATTCGGGTAAATATAAGAAAATATCGTGTAGTATTATAATTTATAATTAATAAAAAAAAATACAAAATCGGCAAGAACAGCAATGTAAATTTTATTAATGAAATAATGAACACCATCATTACAATCCATCACAAGTCCACTGTTGAACATAACTATGATTCCCCAAGGAATGCCACAAAACACTGTCCTGAGCCTCCTGCACCAGATGGTCACGCCAACCCATTCGTGCTACATCATCATCATCATTACAGCCCTTCACAAGTCCACTGCTGAACGTAGGCCTCCCCCAAGTAACGCCACAAAGCACGGTCCTGAGAACACTCGACTTCCTGCATGTCTTACCAGGTCGTCACTCCATCTAGTGGGGGTCGCCCTACACTACGCCTACCGGTACGAGGCTGCCACTCGAGAACCTTTCTTCCCCATCGGTTATCGATTCTTCGAGCTATATGGCCGGCCCATTGCCACTTCAGCTTACTAATCCGTTAGGCTATATCGGTCACTCTGGTTTACTGAGGATATCCTGATTTCTGAGTCTATCACGCAGAGAAACTCCGAGCATAGCCCTCTCCATAGCTCGCTGAGCGACCTTGAACGTCCTCATACGGCCAGCAGTGAAGGACCACGTCTCAGATCCGTAAGTCATCACTGGCAACACGCACTGGTTGTACACTTTAGTTTTCAGAGATTGAGGTAATTTCCCGAACGCTGCCCAGGCGAGTTGAATCCGTCGATTGACCTCTCGGTCGAAATTGGACATACCTAGTCGGACTATTTGTCCCAGGTAAACGTACTCGTCAACAACTTCGAGCATAGTGCTCCCAACAACTACCGGGATAGGTGTGACATGGACATTAAACATGATCTTTGTTTTGTCCATGTTCATCTTAAGACCTATCCGTTGGGAGACACTATTGAGGTCATTGAGCATAGTGCTAAGGTCCTCCAGCGAACTTGCCATAAGGACTATATCGTCGGCAAATCGAAGGTGAGTGATGTACTCGCCATTGATGTTAATACCGTATCCTTTCCAGTCCAGTAGCTTGAAAACGTCTTCCAACGCAGCGGTGAAGAGTTTCGGGGATATAACGTCACCCTGTCTTACACCTCTCTGCAGTTGGATAGGTTTCGAACTCTGGTTCTGTACTCGGATAGCCATCATAGCCCTACTGTACAAACACTTCAGCACTTCGATATACCGACAGTCAACTTGGCACCGCTGAAGGGACTGTAGCACCTGCCAAATTTCGACGGAATCAAAGGCTTTCTCATAGTCCACATACGCCAGGCAAAGTGGCAGATTGTACTCTTCGGTCTTCTGTACAATCTGCCGCAGGGTATGTATGTGGTCTATGGTACTGAAGCCTTTTCGGAAACCGGCTTGTTCGGGAGGCTGGAAGTCGTCAAGTATACGTGCGAGACGATTCGTAATGACTCTCGAAAATAGCACGTAGACGCGGCTCAGAAGGGAAATCGGTCTGTAGTTCTTCATCGTTGTCGCCTTTCTTAAAGAACAAGACCACCGCACTTCTGCTCCACGCCTCCGGAGTAGTGCCACCATGGAGGACGGAATTGAAGAGCTTCTGAAGGACTTCAAGTACTGGTGTTCCACCCACTTTCAGAAGCTCCGTTCCACCCACTTTCAGAAGCTCCGCTGTAATTCCATCCTCGCCTGGGGCCCTGCCATTTTTAAGGTGCTGGAGAGCCATTCTAATCTCGCTCAGACTGACGTCCGGGATATCATCGGAATAGTGTCGGATAAGACTTGCTCTTGCATCGTTACTTACACTTGAGTGTGGCTCCAACGATGATGTGTACAGCTGCCCATAGAACCTCTCAATCTCACTAAAAATCTCAGGTGTCCCGGAAACGATGCTGCCACACTCAGTCTTCAGCTTTGACAGTTGGCTCTTTCTGGCAGACAGATCTCTGGCAAAGACTTTGGAGCCCTGGTTCCGCTCGATCGCTTCTTTAATACGAGCATTATTAAAGTTGCGTAAGTCTCTCCGCATGCATTTGGAGATCAGTCTGTTCAGTTGCCTGTATGCTGTCAAATCTGTTGACGATTGCAGCCTCATCTCCCGTCTAACAGCCATGAGATTAAGAGTGTGATCGGAGAGTTTTTGTGTTCTTCTGCGGCGGGTCTTGCAGAACTTAGCTCCGACCGCATGGACAGTTTCCACGAGCTTGTCATTCATATCGTCCACTGCATTGCAATCTTCTAGGCACTGAAAGCGGTTACATAACTCGAGCTGAAAGGTTTCGGGATTCTGGATTAGAGCACGAGGGGGACGGAGCGTTGACTTCATTAGACGAGACCTCTCCAACTTAATATTTAGGTTCAGTGTGCCTCTAACCATTCGGTGATCGCTGCCGGTTTTCACCCTTGCAATCACTGAGACATCACTGAATAGTTGGCGTCTGGTCGTCATAATGAAGTCAATCTCATTTTTTGTCGAACCGTCGGGGCTCGACCAGTTCCACTTCCTGTGGGGCCGCTTCTGGAAGAAAGAGTTCATCATAAAGAGTCCCTATTTCTCCATAAAGTCAGCCAGCTGGTCCCTACGGTTCTGTTGCCCTACTCCAAATTTCCCTAACTTCAGCTCACCGCCTTCTCTTGTACCTAGTTTTGCGTTGAAGTCTCCATCAACACCGTGTAGTGGGTTTTGGAGGAATGCATGGCTCTAGAAATATCCTCATACTGGGGATGTGCCGAGATTGGTGCGTAGACCTGTATGACCTTCAGCGAATACCGTTTGGTGATTCTGAGTATCAGGTACGCGACCCTCGTCGACACACTCCCAATCTTTACAACGTTGTTGACGAGAGACTTGTGGACGATAAATCCGAAACCTCCTTGGGACAGATGGTCGCCCTCCCGGTGACAGAACAAGTTGCCGGACTCGAGGATTACCGTGTCCTCCCCCTCTCTTCGGACCTCAGATAATCCAATAATATGCCAGCGCAACTTGTCTATCTCTTCTTCCAGCTCCAGTATCTTCACGTCAGTCCTCAGGGTGCGTGCGTTATACGTTGCCAGGTCGAGTCGTCGTAGGTAGCAAACGAACCTCCACCGGAGATTCTTAGCACCCCCTGCCCCGCCGTTCCCATGGTCGCACCGTAGCCAGGAATAGCGGGGCCGCCGGGGACTGGGGGCCGTTTGTTTGCGTCGTTACTCATGGGGGGATATTTGCCATAGTTGCCACGCTTGGCGAGCGGGTTGGCAACCGCAGTTTTTTATTATATCACAGTTGTTATCAGGAAGATGCTGCTGCCCATCTCCTGCTTGTTTCCCTCTGTCGCCTCTTACGACACTCACGGGAAGATATGGGGTAGTGGATATTCTCAACCGCCACTACACGGCATTCGTGCTACAACTATATTACTAATATAACTGCAGCATGGCTCTACCACGTGTAAGAGTACCGTGAAACCTGGAAAACTTTGCCATTTTTAGAAGGGCATTAAAGTTTCGGGCCTATCTATCAGACTGGGCCTCAAAAAAACATGGCAAAGTAACCGTCACAACGTACTATATCACTAGTATGTTAACTTTGCAAAGTCAGTTTTATAGATAAATATTAATCCCATCATGTTAAAAACGAAATATTACATTTCTTAACCATTAGTATTACCTTATTACAAAGATAATATCTACATTCAGTATTTCAAACAAAATCTACAAAAGTTCTGGAAAACTGAACAAGGTTAAGTCGGCGGCATAATTCCGCGTTAAAATAAAATGCCAAAACTAACTCGTTATAGTGGCATATCAAAAACAATCCTGTTAATTAAATTTAGTAGTATAGTTACGTTGTCCTTGTTAATCGTATTTTAACTAATCGTAATCGTAGGTTAAGTTAACTTCCATTGGTAAAGTTGCCAGACTTGACTACGTAGATATCACTTCTCTATATAATTTCCTTCTGTGATAACATTAATAAAATAAAATAAAGCTTTATACACTATTGACATGTACCTTTTCAAATAAAAATAAAATAAACATGAAACAATATGCTCTAATGCATTTAGTATTAGAGTTTATTTTTGCACTTAAAAAAGATGATAATTCAATGTACTGTATTGCATGCACCTTCCCTGTAACACCTGTTAACCAAAAATCTTTAAAACCCAAATTTTAAAAGATACATTAAATTTAAACTTACCATAGTTGGCACTTTCTTCATCTTTTGTTTCACCGAAGGCTCATTTTCGTTCTCCTCCGATACACATCCTGAAATTATAAATACTACATTGATAAACATAACTTGTATTTTCAGCTGTGAAGCAAAAAGCTTACTTCTTTCCCATCCATTTTTCGTTTCCTAAATGTTTAGCCCTTTAATAAAGGGAGTGTATAACATCCCGCTACATTTATTTGGGTTTTAGGTTTTAGTTGCCACAGTTCTGTTTAATTGTCCAATTGGTGTACAATATTCAGATTCACCTGAGGGCCCTCGCAGTGGCAACGCTACTCCTGCTCTGTGAAGTTTGGTTTCGGAATTTCAGATAGATTTTTCGCTACCAGAAGAGGTTGACATGAGGAAAAAATCTTCATATATATACCCTTACTATACTACATTACATACCAATTAATATACAGTGTGTCTTCTGGTCACGACCTAGCGATAATTTAAGGTTACAAAATATACCTAATTTCATCGACGAAAACACCCATATATGGGGGTATACGCCCCCTCCTGTCGGAATGGCCGCCAATTAATTTATTTTTTATTTTTGTAGATACCTCTGCCAAAAGATGCAGATTTCTCTGGACAGAAAAGACAGATGTAAAAAAAATGTTATTTTAAAGGTAAAAATAGCATCTATCAAATAAAAATAAACATCATGGAAGTTTTCCCTACAAATTTAAGTAAAAAAAATGACTATTTTTTTTATTTTTCTTAACATACTTCAAAAACTAGCACATTGATACTAAATTTTTTAATACTGTCCTAATACTTAAGGATATTACTTACAAATTGACATTAAAATTATTTTTCTTAATTGCATAACTCGAGAGTTGGGCTGTTTGAATATGACCCTTTTGCGACGGTCCCAAACCCATGTAGACCTGCTACATTGAATAGGGTTTATGTGACAAGGCCCGGAAATTGATTTGTATTACTGTTAGGCGGTGAATAAGTAGGACAAAAAATCATGTTTGACCAGTATCGAAGATAAATGTTTGTAAGATCAGTTGTCCTCCGCTCTGCGTTGCGATCGCTACTATTCCGTTCCGTTTTCTGAGCTATTCCTTCACCGAGATATTCTGCCGAGTTTGTTGTAGTTGGCAGTGACTACGTACTTTTCGGATAAAAACATGTCTAACTATTCGTCTCATCACATAGCTGACATGCATTTCGTGTATGGCAGATGTAATGGAAGCGCTGCTGCCGCCGTACGAATGTATCGTCAGAGGTATTCCCACCGGCCTACACCCAGTCGACAAACTTTAGTTGACATTTACTTAAGATTGTCGCAATATGGCATCCAAAGGCCGCCAAATGAACGCTCCCGCATAGTGTCAGTGCAAGCAGAAGAAGAAGTTCTTCAATTTATTTACCGAGATCCCAGGCTCAGTGTAAGGCGAATAGCAATGATGCTGCATTTGTCAAAATGGGTTGTGTGGAAAATTTTAAAACGCGAAGGCATGCATCCGTACCATTTTCGTCGCGTACAAGATATTCGAGAGCCAGACTATGCTGTGCGAGCCACTTTTTGCTCGTGGCTCAAAGGTTGTGTGCGACATCAACCGAAATTTTGTAAAAAAAATCATGTGAACCGATGAGGCGACTTGTACAAGAGCTGGTATTATAAACCATAAAAACCAGCATTTATGAGAAAATCCAAATGCAGTAAGGCCCAGTAAATTTCAACGTGAATTTTCAGTAAATGTGTGGGCGGCTATGATTGATGACAAATTAATTGGACCAATTGAATTACCAAATACAATGAATGGCCTAAGATTTTTAGATTTTCTAAGGAACACATTTAGAGAAATCATGGAGTAATTACCAGTAATCAACCAAAGACGCATGTGGCTACAGTTGGACGGTGCACCAGCTCACTACCCACGTGCTGTGAGAGCTTTTCTTAATGAAAATTATTCACCATGGATAGGACGTGGTGGAACGGTAGCTTGGCCACCTCACTCTCCGGATTTAACAACTCTGGATTATTTTTTATGGGGATGGATGAAGCAGAGGGTTTATGCTACAGTCCCAAATAGCAGACAAGAACTGCTCGACAAAATAATGACGATTGCGGATGACATAAGATAAGTAAGGTCAGTAGCCTGTCTACAGAATAGAGGTGGACATTTTAAACAATTATTAAATTAATAATAATACTTAATGCCATTAAAAGTTTCTTAAAAGTTAGAGTGTATTTTTATTTAATCCATTATCGAAAATTAATAGCGCTCATATGAGGCTCTACATACATGACCCTAGCAAAAGAGTCATATTCAAACAGCCCTAACTCTCGAGTTATGCAATTAAGAAGAATAATTTTAATGAAAATTTGTAAGTAATGTCCTTAAGTATTAGGACAGTATTAAAAAATTTAGTATCAATGTGCTAGTTTTTGAAGTATGTTAAGAAAAATAAAAAATAGTCAATTTTTTTTTACTTAAATTAGCATTGTAAATGTTTTAAGATATTTTGTAGGGAAAACTTACCATGATGTTTATTTTTATTTGATAGATGCTAAATTTACCTTTTAAATAACATTTTTTTACATCTGTAGGACCTTTCTGTTCAGAGAAATCTGCATCTTTTGGCAGAGGTATCTACAAGAATAAAAAAAAATTAAATGGCGGCCTTTCCGACAGGAGGGGGCGTAGACCCCCTTATATGGGTGTTTTCGTCGATGAAATTAGGTATATTTTGTAACCTTAAATTATCGCTAGGTCGTGACCAGACACACTGTATAATTGTAAGTCCAAGTTTATTAAAATCACGCAAAACTCTTTTAACAATATCTACATAGTTCAAAACAAAGTCGCTTCCCGCCGTAGAGATCTTTCGTTTAGATCTTTTAAACTACGCAACGGATTTTAATGCCGTTTTCATCAAATATTATTGATGAAAACGGCAACAGACAGAATGATTCAAGACAAAGGCCATTAAAGGATCGCGAGTATATAAACTGAAGCAATATATAAGGACCTATAATGACACCTTGAGGTAATTGACTACAACAAAGTTTTTGACTACATATTATCGAAAGTAGTTGTAGCCAATTGATTTTATATTAAATTAACACGATTCTATTAGAATTTCGTATCCATTAACAGTGGTAGCGCTTACACAGGAGGAAATAGGTGTTAAGCCTATTATTTTATGGGATGTTAAAAAATAAAAAGCTTCCAATACTTCACTGCCTACAATTTAATAGTAAAACCCAAAAAAACCATTATTCCGTGTGATGGCGAAATTAGAAAATCTATCACGCCATGTTGTCTTCTAGATGTCGTAAAAGTTGACTATATAAAACAGCACAAATATCTCATGGCCTCCATTGGTCGATGGGACCGAAGACGACCGACCGACCAAAGTCTAAAAACGTCTAATGTGAAAGTTAGTAAGAATTACTTTGCTCATATACGCTCAATGAAATAAAATGATGTGTCTTACCTAATTTGAATAGCATCTCCCGCCTTCCCTCAACTGCGTGCACTATCCCCGCCACCGCTTATCCCACTACTCCCAACACCATTACACTTGGAAAGACACAACCGACGATAATACGACACGTGTGCTGTGATTAGTGGTGACGGGGATAGTGCACGCAATTGAGGGAGGGCGGGAAGTGCTTTTCAAACTATGTAAGACACATCATTTTATTTTATTTGGCGGATATGAGCAAAGTAATTTTTACCAACTTTAATATAACAGATTTCAGCAAAGTAACGCCTGATTGTATTAATTTAAACGTCTAATGAGTGAGACATTTGGTACTATGATCACAATCCGCCGACGCACGGAGAAGAAACTTATGTCCAGCAATAGGCTAATGAAGGGCTAGTAAAAAAGAAGAAACTAAACATTTCGTCATCATTATCATCATCATCATAGCCCCATAGCCTATTGTTGAAATGGGCCTCCCCCAAGGAATGTCATAAAGCACGGTCCTGAGCCACCTGCACCCATCGACTCCCTGCATGTCTTACCAGGTCGTCACTCCACCTAGTGGGGGCGGCCTAAGCTAAAAATTAAAGTGAAACTTATCATACAAAACGTGATATGGGAAATGTAAATATAAAATTGAGACAATAGAAATAACAGGACGACACTTCCTACACAAAAATAATAATCAAAATTCGCAATTAAAACAAATAAACCATTCGTTGACCCGCTGATAGCTGTTGGATGTTTTCATTTGTAAACAAGGTGGACATTTTAATGATAAAATAAAAATGTTTGAACTGATAAGCCTATTTTGTTTTGGTATAGGAATTTTTTAAACTTAATCTTAACACGACAAAGCAATAGTCGTGTTGTGATCTAAATATAGCTCCAAGCTATCGTCGAGATAAAGAATGAAATGAAGTTGCTATCTAATATTGGCTGTGTGGCGTCACCTCATCATAAACTGTTGCTAAAACAGTAGTTAATATCTAATATATTGGCAAAATTTTGAGATGATTGACAGTAGGCTTTATAAAACAATAGTGACAAACCAACTTATAATCCAACTGATAGTTAACTGATTACTGCAGTCTAAGAACACCTGCAGCTAACTTCATTAAAAAGGTCAGACCGCAGATACGCTGTCCCTACTAAGGTCACAGTCTCTAATTATACTATCCCTCTATATTCTTCAGACCGAAACTTAGCAATACAAGTCCAGCTAATTGGCGGCATAAAAGCAATAATATAGCTCACCGCCGCCGAGTTGCTTGTTTGTCGGGTGGTGAATTTACAGATTGTACTTAGGATAGTGTGCCTATGAGCTTCATAAGCTCATACCGCCATCTCCATTCGCCTGTCGGAGTACCAGACGTACTGCAGGTTACCTTCCACACTTTGTTGAGATTCTGAATATTCACACTAAGCGCTATAAACCATTATTTAAAATGCGCAAGCCACGAAGTGAAATGCCCTGCCGGCGTTTGTTTTTAGGGTTCCGTAGTCAACTAGGAACACTTATAGTTTCGCCATGTCTGTCTGTCCGTCTGTCCGTCCTCGCTTAATCTCTGTGACCGTTAACACTAGAATTTGGTACCAATATGTGTATCAATCACGCCGACAAAGTGGTAAAATAAAAATTGGAAAAAATGTTTTATTAGGTTTTATTAGTACCCTATATGTAAAGTGGGAAGTGATTTTTTTTTAATTTCAACCCTAACGTGTGATATATTGTTGGAAAGATATTTAAAAATGAATAGGGGTTTACTAAAATCATTTTTTGATAATGTCAATAATTTCGGAAATAATCGCTCCAAAAATAAAAAAACACCCCCCCTCTAACTTTTGAACCATAAGTTTAGAAAATATGAAAAAAATTTGAAAAGTAGAACTTTATAAGGACTTTCTAGGAAAATAATTTTGAACTTGGATGGAAACAACAGTACCCACTACCGGGAGCAGTTGCAGGAGCGCGAACATAATGAATACCCACCTTTAAACTCATAAGTGGGAACACTTATTGTGACGGACGGAAAACTACGGAACCCTACACTGAGCGTGGCCCGACACGCTCTTGGCCGGTTTTATTCTGAGTACCTGTAACTTGGACCTCTTCAAAGTGCGTGTTTACTGGGAAAACTCGCTCCATCGTAGACCTCATCTTTGTCCCCGGGCCAGATAGAGCTCAAGAGTGAGCACATTTTTAATATGAAAATATCAGCTGTCATCAAGTGTGAAATATGCTGTGAAAAAATCCACCAACACTAAGATTTTCTCCTGTATCGTGGAGGTAGTTTACAAACATAAATTGCACAAGGACAAACCAAATTCAGACCCGGAACAATTATTTATAGACCGTACATTTATTTGTTCCGTGCATGATTCGAACCCGCGGCCCACAGCGCCATGTTAAGCCACTGCGCCAAGGAGCCGTCTAAATACAATTATGTCATCTATTTGGAAAACACGTAATTACTTTTCGAACAACCTATTTTTTAATATAGCATTTTTAACCATCTATTAGAATAACACAAGTTTTTACCTTCAGTTGGCAGCGTTAACCAAAACTGCGACTTCAGGGTGTGCCAGAGCCCCGGAGGCAATCTGATCTTCGTGTCTTTGCTAACGGTGGAGGCCAGGATCTTGGCGGCGTCTACCAGAAGCGAAGCGCGCCAGGATGCTGCGTAGATCAGACGCATGGTTGACTGGGCGGCGGTAGAACATATCATGGGGAACAGCACGTTGTGGCGTCGAAGATTATATATGCAAATGCCTGGGAAGGAGATAAAGTATTTGGTGTGATATCATCCGACAGTCTACTAGCTTTTCCATACAAGATATAATCAGGTGTAAACTCTAAGATGTCTTAAATTCATCGTTCGCTCTTATTTTGCAAGTGACGTTAAATAATTAAGAGATTTAAGCGTTACTTTGCTCAAATACATTACATTAAATTTGTTAAAAATTAATAAGTTAACCTACTGCACATGATGAAGCTTCGTGAAGAGGCAAACCACTTGCCGAATTAATCGACGGTAGTTTGGCTTTTCTAGTGTAGTCGTGTTTGGAGTCATAGACAATATATGTCGGTACCTGCACGTGCTGCACATGCAGCAGCGCCTCCGGGGCTGGTCGGAATTATTGTAAACAACACGTGCAGTAGCGCTCGTGTAGCTACTTGTCTCGATTGTATAAAACGGACGGAGCCGCCACCGTTAAGGATCCCTTAATCTGCCTTAGTAAGGCACTCTTCTAAGCGGCTTTTCACCGCTTGCGCCCTCCTTTCTGCCAAGGAGGGTCGCGTTCGTATACGGCTTAGAGATCTCTAGTCAGATCGTTAAGCCAATTCCTAAAAGGTTGAGTTTAGTGGGTAAGAGTCACCACATAACCACGCAGCCGGCTGCGTGGTATGCTATGAGCATTCTTAACCTCCCTCCCCCGCTTTCTGGAGGGTTGCCCATATTTGCATCGGACGCAGAAAAAAAAACCGTTAAGGCAGTCTTGGCGCTGGCGTGGCACGGTGCACTTGTATTCCGCTACTAGCTCATCCTCGACTATTCGGATAATGAATTCGTGGAAACGATTTAAATATTATTCTCAGCTATTAAATTCGTCTCAGTACAATTTATAGTTGATTATCTCTCATCTGTGTATTTCATGATTTTATGAAAAGGTAATAAGGTTTTCCATAATAAACCTAGATTTTAATATCTTCCTACATGTACAATATAGGGCATAGATGAGCCACTCTAATTAGGTGACAAAACGAGGGAAGTTTCTTCTTCGCTGTCATGGATGACTTTGGGATTATAAATTACTGATAAATACACTAGAGGGCGCTATCAACTTGGTTCAGTATTATTTCGTACAATTTAATAAAAAATTAAAAGGAAACTGTTTTCAAATTAGAAACTAAAAAAAAATTGCATTATACAATTTTTCATTATGCCTCTATTAAATAATCATGGTTTGATTTGCAACATTTATTCCATTAGAGTTATTCTAGAGCAATGTTTGGGCTGAACCAGGGTCCAACCAATTTGCTGAGCGCTTGCGATTGTTAAAATTCCTTCGTTTATATGCCTGTTGAGCAGTACGGCACGTCTCTATGTAATTCTTCGCATTGGCGATTATTGAATCCGTGGGGCACCCATTTGTCAAGCTTTTTTACATTGTCAGTCTGACGCAAATATACCATTATTGTTTTGGTACTAACGTAGAAAGCTGCTGCTAATTCCGCCGTAGATTGAGTATTATCAGCTTCCACAATCGCCTTTAATTCGTCATTGTCGACCAAAGCTTTCGGAAGACCACGGGGTTCATTTTTCAGGTCGAAAGTTCCAGAACGGAAGCGGGCAAATCAATAAAAGGTGGTACGTTCTTTTGAAGTATTCGCTTCCTAAATGTCGTCGATGTTGCGTGCCGCTTGTGCCGCGTTGCTGTTGCTGCCACGACGGTACTCATATTCCATAACTACTCGAATTTTTAACGTATCCATGATGAAAAAGATTCAAAGGCGATACATAACGCTAATTAATAAACAAATGACTAATTTTGAAAAAAGAATTCCATATTTTTTAAATAAAAATTTGAATTTAGAATTCTCAGCTAAACAAAAATTATTTGGAATGGCTAGTACTGCAGAACGGCAATTCCAATTTCACCTATTATGTTAATAAAGGTTTATAATTCATGCACGACTCCTTTGTGTAATTTGCTGGTACAATCAATTTCTCTGGATCTGTATGATATAGAGGGTTTCTGAAAAAAATATTGCTCGTTTCTCTAAAGATGGCAATGCACATGCGATGTCTCTGATATTGTAATGTTCATGAACAGCGGCGTCCACTTACAGTCTTCTAAAGGAACGACTAAATCTCTCACACGATAAGGAAATACGTAAATGACCTTAACCTGGCACAAATTATACCTTTTCATTGGACTTAATTGAAACAGACTGTATAAGGTAATGAAAGATTATTTATCTGTAAAAATTTAAGAGTAAAATAAACAATTGCAGATAAATATTAATTCGATAAATATAACGGTCAATTAACTTTAATTAGGAAACTAATTACTCAACGAGCGTAAACATGATAATAATAATACCGATAACGATAGTAAAACAATTAAATCTTAACATTTAATTTATTTTAATGCGTTTGTTTTATAACTACTATTCTATGCTCTGACATCTTTATTTTATAAAATCTGGAATGTGTACGATAGAAAAATAATAGCAATAAAAAAATAAAAGCGATCTTTGTTATCTAACAATAAAGTAATTATTATTATTTATAGGCTTAATGATGAAATATGGGATTCTAAGTATTCAAGGAGCATTGGACATGAAAAATTACAAGTGTATTGTTACGAGCTTGAGGTTCGTGACAATAAAAATTGCCGATAAAATTACCTAAATTAACACTTTAATTTACTTTACACAAATTAAAACTTAAAACACTAATAATTAAACACACTAATTCACTTTATTCCGCTCCGAAGCTTCGCTTGTCTCGCCAAATCCAATACTGCCCCAATCGCATCTTGCAGCGCCTATATATACAAATTAGCAATGAAGCATCCGGAATATTCAAGTAAATGCGCGCAAAGCGACGAGTGTTCGAGTGTAGATTTTCTAGAAACTTAGTTCTTCGGTTTGAGACTAGATGGCGCTGTCGATTGAAAGATTTGTGATATCATTTTCTGCAAAGCTCCCCTCGCTCTCGTTCCTGACACTAGATGGCGCTAGTGTATGACGTTGACTTATTCACGCAACACTTCCCCCTCCTAAGACATGCTCGTCCCGAGCATTATCGGTCCCATAATAACGCGCCAAGCGATCCACATGGACAATCTTAGGAGTCCCTCTTGCGCCTTTATGTATCCGGTAGGTAACATCGTTGATCCTGGTTACAATCCGGTACGGGCCGTCCCATTTAGCTTCAAGCTTAGGAGATTTTCCTTTGCTGCGGACTGGATTGTGCAACCACACTAATGAACCTTCGTTGAACCCTTTATTGTTCATTTTGCGGTCGTACCGGGTTTTCATTTTCTCAGACATTTGCTGGCCCGATTATCTGACGTGCTCATAAATGTCATTCATTTTGTTCCGCAAGTCATTTGCATAATCGGTTATACTGCGTGGGGCATCAGGTGGTATCCCGGTGATCAGATCTGTAGGCAGCCGTAATTCTCTTTCAAAGTTTGCGAAAGCTGGTGTCACTGCTGTGCTTTCGTGAACAGAACTTCGATATGACAACAAAAACGGTTGTATGTGCTTGTCCCAATCTCGTTGCCGATTGTCTACAACTTTTGCTAGGTACCTCTCCAATGTCTGATTAAATCGTTCCACCAATCCATCAGATTGCGGGTGATAAGAAGTCGTTCTTGTTTTATGAGTACCCATAACTCGGCAAGTTTCCTGGAATATTTGAGACTCAAAATTCCTTCCTTGATCGCTGTGAATCTCTAAAGGTACTCCAAAACGACAGAAGACTTCATGAACTAGTTTATCTGCAACTGTTGAAGCTTCTTGATTTGGAATGGCGAAAACTTCTGGCCACTTTGTGAAGTAATCCATCACAACCATGAAATACTTGTTACCGCTTTCACTCTCCGGAAACGGCCCCGCCACGTCAATGGCTATTCTCTCCCATGGTGCACCAACATTGTACAACTTCAATGCACCTCTACTACGAGTCTGAGGTCCCTTTACAGCCGCACAACTTGTACATTTGCGACACCAGTCCTTGACATCGTTTCGACAGTGGACCCAATAAAACCGTTCTCGGATCTTCAGTAGAGTTCATTTAACTCCCAGATGGCCTCCGGAACAATCATTATGGTAAAGCTGTAGAACATCCGGTTTAGCTTTGGGGACAACAATTTGCAAATGACAGCTGTCTCCCCTAACATTTTCCCATTTAGGGCACAGAACTCCCTCCTGAAGCAGCAAGCTGTCCCACTGGGCCCAATAGCTTTTAGTGGTCGAACTCATTGCTGAGACGTCGCTCCACTTAGGCTTGGGAGCACTGGCCTTTATCCATTCCAGAATCGGCTTGATGTCCGGATTTTCCTGCTGTGCATGTTGTAAGCTGTCCTTCCATTCGTTGCTGAGGTGGTCCGTCCTGAGCATCCTCACGGATACCTCTTCCTTACTCTCTTGCCTAGTACAATGGTTGCAATCTTCAGGACAAGGTCTTCTTGACAATGCATCTGCGTTGCCGTGAGATTTTCCGCTGCGATGTTCGATCTCAAAGTCGTATTCCTGCAGTAGTTCAATCCACCTCGCAACTTGTCCTTCTGGATTTTTAAACTGCAATAGCCATTTTAGTGCAGCATGGTCAGTTCGTAAGTGAAATTTTCGTCTCAGAAGATATTTGCTAAAATGCTGCAACGACTTTACCACAGCGAGCAATTCGCGTCTTGTGACACAATAGTTCCTTTCCGGTTTTGAAAACGACTTGCTGAAGTACGCTATCACGACCTCTTGGTCACCATTCCGTTGAGACAACACACCGCCAAGTCCTATAGCACTTGCGTCTGTGTCAACTATAAATTCTTTGCTTGCATCAGGGTATCCCAAAATAGGTGTTTTGCACAGACGGTCCTTGAGCTCCTGGAATGCGATGTTGCAACTTTCATCCCAGTAGAAATGTCGCTTCTCCTCGGTTAGCATGTGCAGAGGTTTGGCTATATCTGCAAAGTTCTTCACAAATCGCCGGTAATAGGAGCACAAACCCAAAAATGCTCTAACCTGCGTCTTGTCTT